GATATTCGAAGTGCTCAACTGGATTACCAACAGCGGCAAACTCACCTAATAAGTCAACCACTGCTAAATCAAACTGTTGTTACGCCAGCTCCAAATCCACTATTCGTAGACTGGAGTCTATCGAATTCTAAACAGAATCAGATGATGCGACCACCGTCAGAAATTCCTGGGTCCAGTGTGAACTTATTTTCAGCTCCTCGAATTGAGTGTCCAAGCCCTGATCCAAATGAGTCCCACTCAGATAGCGACTCCGAAGAGATATGGTCTGCTCTGACAGGGAAAACGAGTGGGAATCCCACCAGCTGTCATGATTTTCCCAACCCTATTGACTCTAATCCTGTGACAACAAGTACCACAGTGCCCATGGATCTGCTAGATTTTCGCACTTGCTTAGCGGCCGTAAGATCTTCACGTTCCACCAACGGTCTCTTGTCTGTAATGAACATTCGTCCGACCAATAGCAAAGGACACAACTCCCTGTCCGGGGTCACAAGTCTGGATGCGCCGCAGGCCGGTGTGACAACAGACTCAACTCTTGTCCCCCTTCGTTTTGATGATAACGAGTTGTTACATTTTCAGGCTGACGCAGTGGCTGCTCAACTGATTTTGGCTTTAAGACAAAAGTGGCAAGCCTTACTTCTCCGTCGTCTCCGTAATCCAGGAAAACAATGCTCTCAACAGGATGAGGTGCGTTTATATCTGATACTCCCAATGCAGTAACATTGCACTTTCTAATGCCTTTATGTTGCACAGTAAATGTGGTTCCAATTTCAGAGATGCAACTTCTGCCACTAACTGATATGCTGTTTCTTGGGGTGGAGTGGAGTGCAAAGCTTTGCACTGGATTTGATTATCAAAACTGCTACCTTCAGAATACCCGCTAAATGGATTACTGAGGTACGGGGTAAATGCCTGAGAACAATAACAAGATTTCGGTGTAGAATGTCGATAAACCACAGAGTTTCCTTTTTTATTGAACCTTCATTACTGGTTTTTAGCCGTGGCTGTTACTAGGCCGTGTGTGTTCGAAGTTTCGGTATCGGTAATCTTAACCTTTTCTTCAGGTCTGCACATGCACGGACACACCGGGACTCTGACCCGTTTCAGTATATAGTCCTATCCTGCTATGTGATCTTTTCTCAGAAACTTTTACAAACGTGCCTTGTCTGAATTGTTTCCCACCTATGGGCGATCGACTCCAAAAGTACCCGACTTTCACTCGTTATGACATGCCTCTGTACCCCTCAGTAAGAATTAATACTAAGGCTGTAAAGCTCTGAGCGAACGCGGAATAGGCACGGTTGCTACCAGATGATTCACCAAATTCTATGCTTACTGTGGAGTACAACTTTCAGCTGTGGTTCATTTGCACTTTTGTGCGACAAAATTGTGTCAACGGTCAAAGAGTGATCACAAATCACAGGTCCATTCGGACACTGTTGTGGAAAAGAGGCCACTTTGTTTTGATTTTCCTTGGCTTGTGAAACGCAAGTCACAGCTGTCAGTCCATGCAAGATAAAACCGCTGCGGTACACAGTAGAACAAGTGAGTTCCCAAAGAAGCCATTGACAACGGAGTTGAAAAATAATATGAAAATGATTGTTTTCGACCCCCACCCCACCACGTTTGCATTCACCAATTAACTGAGCAAGTCTCGCATAGTTATTCGTCCACACAACGCTTGCTATCTCGTTTTTTTCTTTCATCCAAAGAATTTTTTCCATGGTTTAGCGATACAGGAATCAGGTTGTTATAATGTGAACCCATCCAGATTGATGAAGACACTTGTGAATGTTGTGATGTTACTAATACGGCGACGTCAAAGATGAAGCGGCCGCTTATCCGTTAATGGATTCAGACTGTTGAGTTATCCGCCTTTTCAGACATGACGCATCAATCTTACATGGACTGATAGCTGTGAACTGCTTATCATGAGCAGTTGCAGATCTCAATAAGGGGTCCATTTTCCTCACCGAGTACAGTCAATATCCTGCTTTGTCGCAGCTCTGAGAAGTCGCATTTTCCAATATCTTCCCACTTTTTGAAAACCTCAAAGCATCCGTATGCTCAAAAACGTAGTTTCTTACTATGCATTATCGCCCACCCCCTCAAGATGTCGCAGCTCCTGATATCTACTCACTTGGTCGTTGATCGATGTTTGGGACGACCATTGACCGACCGACCTGCACTAAGCCAATGGCGTTTCAGCTAATGTGACACGAACATGGTGCTGTTCACTGACTGGATAATCTTTGCGAGGGAGCCACATCGATGCCCACAGAGTCACTTGACTTCTGACTGTGCGTTCGCTTATCGACCAGAACGTGTTGAAAATGCTGAATCAGCCAAGTGTACCTCAGAGCTCCCTAACCGAATCACTCAGTGTTTCAAGAAAAACTGTTTACAATGTTATTTCCCATCGAACCACTATCGGATAATTTGTGAAAACTGAAGCATCTCAGGATGTAAACTGAAACTCAACGAAAAGTTGAAGACAGTGAATGAGGCGACCTTTGCTTTGTTTATTGTTATGAGGTAAGGCAGCTCAGCTGACAAAAAGAATGCATCATCGTTACTTCAAGGCTTCCAAAAGTTGTTTTCGGTCTTGGTCAGACAAATGTGTCATTCAATCCTACAAGGCGACTACTCATGTGCATTAATTTATAGCCTTGTGGGGAAAGTTTGGCGGTACCATGTGATGCAGTGGATACGTTTCGAGCGAGGTTACNGTGGATACGTTTCGAGCGAGGTTACCGCAGTTGATTCTACGATACGCCTCTGTGACATTTTCAGTATTACAAGCAATTCCCATAAAGAACATGAAGTCTCAAAATAATAGTCAGTTTCTGGATCCAAGAAATCTAAAGAAAGAGTCACTTTACTGCTTTGTGGGAGCCTAACTGGAGAAAAGTTATCACCGTTGGTTATTGGAAAATTGATCGAAGATGATCAACTTAGCACGAAATCCGAAGTGACCAACCTCAGGGGCATGCATCTGGTCAGGAAAACTTGGGTATCTGTGTATCCGTACGCACTGATCAATGCATACATAATAGCATTCACTACTGACTAATAAGCAGTGTCGCAGTTCCTGAAATCTACCCAATTTTTAGAATTCCCGAGGGGTGGGCCATAACAGGAGATTAACTGTACACAGACGAGTCAGCAGGGTGATCGCATCGACCTGTGCTCACTCTTTGACCTTTGACACAATTTCACCGGATAAAAGGGCAAATGAACCGCAGCTGAAATTTATATTCAGCAGTTAGCAATTAATTTGGTGAATCACTTGGTGGATTAAATGGCCTTGGAAACGGAGTAGAGACCCCTAATTGCGATAAATCCGCATTAATCATCGCAAATATTATCTTTAGTTCTTGAAGGATGGCATAGGGTATAAATGTTATCGGCAAATCTTCGTACTATTGAGTGTGCCTTCAAGCCACCTTTGTCCCGTCCAAGCTTGGCACTGCCTCATTGCATGAACAGTATTTTTTTTATTTTTACTTCCTTTATTGTGTACATAGTAATACAACCCTTAAAGAAGGCAAAAGCGACCAATCAAAGGGCGACCATACAACATACAAAATGGTGAAGGTTAGGTGATGGTGGTGGGATTCGAACAGGTCCTCCGAGGCAGTAATTTAATGACCGTTACCACTCGGCCACCTCTGCGAAGCCTACTACACGTGGTCATACGACTCAATTAATTATGATATAAAAGGTGTTTGAATTTCACCATCTCTGAAACTTGTTTTCCCGATTTCTGTCGGTCTTTTCAATTTTGTTGCGTTGCGCTAATGGTATTACGTTTGAGATATAGAATTATTTTTGTGATAGATTTGTATTACTGAAGTTATAAAATGGGATGCTTTGATTGGCTCAGGTTTTCGACGTCTAATCTTTCACCCTAGTATACTAAATTTGAAGTATTCATGGCTGATTTATTAAGAAGACATTTTAAATACGTAATACGAACTCCTTTTCACTTATCTTCAATAAATACTCCTTAATAGGCAAACATTTCCATAACAGATTTGATTCGACGCGATCGACTGTGGTTTTCCTTAAAGACTTCAGAAACATGCTGTTTTTAGACGACCGGTAATTAGGTTTACCTCAAACGTTGGACTGTGATTTGCGATCATCAAGTCTGTCAATTTATATAGGTTAATATCCTATTCATCGATAAAAGGTCAATACGTTGACAGTACTTGCATTAGCCCCAAAAATTCAGTGAACTTGATCTTATGGGAACTTCGGATATCTTTTGAACTAGAATTTCACTACACCCGCTTGTTGACTCATCAGCGCAGTTGTTCCTCCGATTATCGGTTTCTAATTCTTCGTTTTATCCAATGCACCTTCGTTCGATAATAGTGAACACGAATTCGTGGGTGAATGTTTTCATGATATGACATGACATTTACTGAATCAACATTTAACACTTGAAGATGTGTGAAACCTTCCCTGCTCATTAAATACGCGGACGATGTTTTGGTCGAAATCGCCCACCCTGATGCATCTGTCAACCCCACCCTCCACCTTGACCTTATTAACCTTGTTGAATAGTCCGCTACACATAACTTGACTCTCAATCCCTCTAAGATGAACACCTATTTAAGTTTCATCATTGTTGTATATTAATTTTCATTTCATTTTTATCCCATTGTAACGGTGAACACATGCTCGCACAACAAGAGTGCTTTTGGTTTTGCAATGATTATATAGAAACTCCGGTTATAAAATACATTGAAAATAGGTTTGAGAAGCTACTGCTAGCTGCGGAGGATAAAACTAATGGAAAAATTTCATCATTAGAAGAGAAGATAACTACCCTGAGGTCCCAGATCCTCCCAGCCTGCCCAATCCAGCAACCGACTAAGCGTCCAAGGTGTTCTTTAATCAGCGCCGCTCCAACACAGTGCATAATTCCCGCTGACATAAACATAGTCTCTATAGTAACGAATGATACAGTGACAGTGCCTGAGCAGAAGAAGATCGTCCTACAGACGAAACCTGTTATATTCACACCGAAGCCTTCGATAGTGGGAAAAAAGGTAGCAGTAATATCGCCTTGACGCTTATTTGCACAAATATACCTGAACCGACAAAACAACCACTGAGAGAAAGACAAGAAGAAGAGCTGGAACATTGGAAGGGTTTATGCGCTCAGATGAGCAATAATGTTCTACCCGTGGGCCTCACAAAACTTATGCGCCAACTCACGTCGCTATATGCCGGGGAATCCAGACAACTCCGGGTGACCCTGAAAGATGAAAAGGACTTGAAAGACGTTCTTCTTTCTGGTTACCTCCTCAGAAATGGTCCCTGCAGAACCACAGTCTTTCCTGATAGGCCATGGACGGAACGAATGCAGCATCAGTTCGATCCAATGAGAGCACGGGTGGAGGAAAATAAGAGGGTCGTCCTCATCCATGGTGTCCCGCAGTTGGACGATCCCGATGAATCCGAAAGTCATCAGAACGACCGACGAGAATGGCGATTCATTCAAAATTTACTTGGGTATCCCGGTCTTCCGACAACCTCAGTCAGTCATCTTTCTTGCTCACCAAAGTACCATGGCAACCGTCCGGCACTTCAGACAGCCAACACCGTCTTTCAGTTATGGCGCGAACAAAAGAACAGAGGGCCTCCGGAACTACGTGTGAGACCCTTAATAAATCCCGGGCTCCAAACACATTCATATCCCAAGAACCCTACTAATACATCGGATTACTCAATGCAAGTACCAAATTCCGTCCCACAACCGGTGGTCCAAAGTACCAGAGCTTCTCTGTCAAAAAAAAACTAATGGTAGCCGACCGCGAGGGGGTCGGCCAAGATACCAATTCTAATCCAAACGAATTTCTACATCGGCAATATTTAAACTGTTGCTACACCAATGCTCAAGGACTCCTGAGCGAATTTCCAGAGATGAACTTTCGTTTCATTTCAGGTCTGTGGGATATTCTTGCTGTTACAGAAACGTGGCTTGCAGCTGATATTCTGGACTCCGAATTGTCCTTACCAGAAATGTCTCTGCTCAAATGCGATCGTCCAACCCGTGGTAGGGGTGTTTTACTCTATTATCGAAAAAATCTTGATTGTTACCACATCCACCCACCCACCCCACTTTCGACTCCTGACACTGTGATGTAGGTTGAGATTGTCTAAACACGGTGACTGATTGGTGTCATCTGTCGCGCTCCATCAGCCACGGAATCAGCCAATATGACTCTTATGAACTTCATGCTACACATGCTCGCAAAAAGAGTCACACATGTTCCCCTATTGGGTGATTTCAACTGTCCCAACCTCGGTAAACCAGTGCCCCCCCCCCCATCCCTTATTCAAGCACTAATTCATAAAGCTAATTGCCTCACAACCACTTTGCAACCACGTGAAAGATCATACCAGATTTGGAAACTTGCAGTCACCATCCATATTAGATTTAGTTTTGACAAACGAAGAGTTTATGATGGAATCCGTCGCCGTAACGACCCCTCTGGGACGAAGTGACTATACTGTACTATTGTTCAAATACATTTGTTACACCTCTGTCAAAGTCATTAACCCAAACAACATTCGCACATTCATAAACCATACGAAATTGCAGAGGTTGGCTCCTTCCATTCAATCGATATCTCAGGGAAGAGCACAACCCTTTATCCTTGTGGCAGGAATTTACTGACAGTCTGCAACAACTACTGGCGTTAGTGACGCAGGTAAACCCAGCAGCCGGAAATCATCTAATCGAAGCCCTACAAAGAAATGGATATTTCTGAGGGACCTCTCTTGGAGACTTCCGAATGCATGCACCTGGAACAATTACCGACTGCTGCGAAACCACTGCAGCAAGTTGGTGCGCGAAGATAAACTAAATCATCAAGAATCTCTAGCCCAAAGACTTATTTTAAACCCTAAGCTTTTGTACAAACATGTTAGTTCAGCTCGAAAAGTTAAACATGTAATACCGGTGCTCAGTTCCTCTGGAACAGCCACAGCCAATACAATGGAAGCCGCTGAAATGCTGAAGAACCAGTATACCTACGTTTTTGCTGCGTCAACTAACGAACGACAGTACCTCCCTTGCTGGATGCATCAAATTCCACATCCTTTACTAATCAACGTATCATTCACTACCGAAAAAGTGAAAGCTAAGCTATTGGCTTTGAGGAATAATTCATCACCAGGGGCAGACAATATTNNNGAGCCACTAGCCTTCCTATTCCAGAGGATGTTGTATCACACTGCAATCCCACCGTCGTGGAAGCGGGGGGTAATTTCACCCATTTACAAAGACGGTTGCCGTGGCGAACCCGCTAACTACCGCCCTGTAACCCTCCTTCCATTGCTGTCCAAAGTCATGGAGTCCTGAAAGCACTATCCGTCCCTCGCTTCTTGAATAATCGTTTTCTTTTTGCTTGTATTTTGCCCCCATGGCTGTAACGGTACCCTGTAATCTTTCCGGTGTTTCTTAAGAAGGAATTTAAATTTAGTTGTTCAAATCCTTAACACATTTATCGAGAAGCAGCAGGATTTCCCGTGAAACTATCTCACTTCATCGTTTCACAACATAAAAAGGCACACTTTTCGTTATCCACAAAACCATAAACAACCCATCCTATCCGTTACAAGAAAATCTTATCAGTTGTGTCCTATTCTTCCACACGGTCCTGCTACAGCTGTGTATTTGTTCGTAGTGCCGTCTATCGTTCTTCTGTGGTGCCTTATTTTGTCCGATTTCTTGTTAACCCAGAACGCATCGCTTCGGAACTGAACTCACTCGTATCGTAAATTGTTTTCTTTTCTCCTTGCTTACCACAACTCTGATATACTTTCGCTTGATCATTGTCGGATGACTATTTGGCTGCTGGATGTCCACCTTTCGGGGTGCTTAAAGCAAATACTTTACTTGACTTGACTTGAGTATTCTAAATCTAAAGTTCATGGCTAAAACCGCTATTGAAGGCTTTGTGTTGACGAGAATTTATTGCTTTTACAAAATCATTAGCATCATTTTTCCTATTTATATAACAATTTTGATGATACCTGACACCTCGGTTACGCTAAACTGTCCCACAACATTCCTTCTCCCAATGTTGTACATTTCATGAGATTTCGTGGTTACTTTCAATCCCTTTGTTCTTTTCCCCCTTCGATTGCCGTCCTCATCCCCTCTATCCAACCCAATGCTACTCATTGCCCGTTGTTCAAGTCCATTCTGTCCGTATTGGTCACTGTGTTGACCTCTGAGGAGCAAGTGCTTGGTTTGAGACAGCCATCTGGAGTCGGTGCACGACCTCGTCCAATGGCAGCGGAATTATGTAACCAGTATGAAAACATTGTGAAAACGCCAACACCTCTAACTGAAACCAAATCGGTTCGCAGTCCGGATGATTTACCCTCAGTTACCTCTGCCCAGTCAATGACAAACCAGTCATTTGTTTCTGCAACCACTATCACCAGTCTGCCTTGCAGCTATCCTTACACCAGTAGTCCACCGTTGGTACAACCTAATCCCATGGGAGCGCAGTCCAATTCCAGTGTTTTCATCGGAAATACCACTCATCAGCTAGTGTCTACGAACATACAACCGGTGGAGCAAATGCCTGTGTTCTCTCCCGTGCAAGAATGTTCAGATGTCCAGAAGTCTGATTCGGCAGTCTCCGAAAGACTTGGGGCTCATTTGCAAAACCCTGTATACTCAAGTGCCACAAGTAATGCGGCGTTTGGTGCAGTATCTCAGGTGAGTGAAGCCAACTAAGGGATGATGTGCATATTTATTTGCGGTAAATATTTCCCAATCAAAATAATTTAATGGCTTTTGGAATAGATGTTAAATTCGCAATTATGGGTTATAGGTCTTGTCGACACCTCCTGCAAAGAGCACCTGTTTACCTGATGATTCCAAAATACCAGCTCCGAAACCGGAAATGGAATGCATCGAGGTTCCTCCATGCGCCGATGGAGCCCAGTCCGTTTATTACTGTTGGTCAGCTCAAAACGCCTTACGGCGGGATCATGTGATCTCGATGTTTCTTGTTTTGCTACGGAATAGTTTTGTCCGATATCATTTATAACAATAATTGGGCTGATTTGGGTCGTTCTCTACAGGCTTAGCTTACTTAGCTTAGCTTAGCTTATTTACGCTTTTCATAAAAATGTTCTTCTCGTATAATTCGTTCACAAATGTCTCCCTGATTGTTTGAGCAGTGCCTACCGTTACCACCATGAAACCCTAAATGACTACTTTTATTGTCACAAACCTATTTCGGTGAGAAGCACCTCAAGCTCGTTACCACATTATGGCTACTCCGGATCTTCACACTGTTATTTTATTTCTGCTCATTTTTCTGTCTGCCGAAATCGATACAAAATCATGATTAATAAGGCAATCGATTGTGTTACCACTGTGTCGTTTAAAGCAAATGAAGCGATCAACTCATGTGAGCTTACCTATCGTTTGCACTAGAGTAGTCCGATCCACAATAGAGTGGAGAGAGCAACTTTTTTGGTTCGGTGTCCAGTTCGTAGACTTTCCGATCACAGCTTTACCTTAAACGATGTCCAATTAGCTTAACCTTGGATCAGACATCCGGAAGTCCGGGGTGAATAAGAGTAACATGGGTTGCATAAAATGATGATGAAAACACCCTCGTCCGAAAACACCGTGTTCAGGACTCTCTCATATATGATGAGGCTGTGGTTGCAACCGAATGCATTGCATTTCGAGTGTTGCTTTAACACATCCTGGTCATCTCATTTGTATACCAAGCACATTATATTTCTTCGACTGTTTATTATTATAAATCAACGTTCGACTAATGCATTATCATCTCCGGTTTTCTATCTTTTTCATTATCACTGGGTTCCTCAAACTGTGGCAACAGGGTAGGAACTATGGAGCTTGGCATATGATTTGAACTTTTTATGTTCCAAAGACAGATAGCTGGAAGACAGATATTGATACGGGCGTTCAGCCATGCATTTGCACCGCACATGCTCTATGGGCGCGGTTCCAACAAGCACGCCGCTAGCTCAACTCGTCATGCCACGTGTCCAGAGCGACCATTCACCGCGCAGTTAGTCAAATGCTTTTTTAACCGATCGACAAACCACCCTGGTCAATAATCAATACTATCAATATTCACACACAATCAACATCTGGCCGGAGCAGCGCACCAAAAACGTGTCGGACCGATCGTGCGTTGCAAATTTCGAGTTGATAACACGAGACTACCGTCCTCCAATACTGTGTTCTACTCCGTACGTAGCCCGTGTTCTCAAAAATGCAGTTCGTTTGTTGTAGGAGTGTTCATTCGTCGACCCATCAACCCCCATAAGTTGCTTTGGTAGAGAAGTCACAAACTTAGATTCAAACAATGTATCCGGGAGTATATTTTGCATATTTGCAAGTGCATATTGCAGACAAAGTGGTAAATAATACCTTTTTATTCTTTTGCTCCTATTTTATTGCATATATAATTAAGAAAATACATCCGGAGGCTCTGAACTTGTGAACATTCTACGTTCTAGATTGTACAAAATTTCCAGAAATCGTGTACAGTTAAGTGGTGTTGGCGGGGTCGGAATGTTAGTCCTCCCGGTGGTAAGTTAGTGACTTCTCTGTTGAACTGCAAACAGAGTTGCATAAGTTTGGTTAATCCGTCGGACGTATTTTTGTGCGATCCTCCATGTTTCTGCACGGTGTTGACCACGGTGACCACGGATTTCAACCATTTTTTGTCCTCGGCTAACCAGATTGTTCAAAAGCGTTATGTTCAGGCAGTAGTTGCTTGATGAACCCGGATGGGTGAATGTCCAGCATTTTATACTTTATTTACGAATGCAAATTTATAAAATCATACAGAAGGAAACTAAGATTACTAGATGTCAATTTTTCTCAATGAAGTGAGCGATTCGTAATTCTTCAGAAACTTCCTGCTTATCAAAAAGTAGGCGTGCGAATAACGATTTAAAAGTTGGAACCTCCGTTATGTGGATGAGGCAGATACAACCTTGGAAAGTCCATTGTGTGATGGGTGATGTATTTCAGAGTATTTTGAAAACAAAATATTCAAACGTTTGTAGGTGTCTACCCATGATTGGGTATTCAAGTGCATTTCAAGTGATGCCACTGCATCTAGAGATTTGGTTGAACGATTAATTGCAGATTGATCAACCTTGTAAGCCTTTTGACGTGGGTTCTCTGTTCATGTTTATAGGTCCGTTCTTTCCACCTGTGTAACTGCGTAAGTGACGTTGATGAGTATCTAGTCTCATGGCTGAAGTTTCAAGTTTGTAAAAACAAAGCTCAGTTGTGCACGAAGTCTGGTAAGAAAATGTACAAAATTTTGGAAACCCAATGTGATGAGAAGACTTACTTCTTGTTTAATAAAACCACCAACAAAAGTACACAAAGGGTCATTAGTTGGTGCTATCACGAAGGCTGAAAAAATATCAGAAAAAGTATTCAGTTTATTGGTTTATATTGTAGGTGCCTGATAATTTTTTCCGAATCCCACTCAAAACATTCAATAGCGTGACAGTTAGTTTTATCCGTCGAGTAGATCAATGCAGTTGATTTACTCCGGTTGCTGTTATCATAACTACCAACCCATCCTCCTAAATTACGAACACTCGTAGGACGGTCAACCCGATACAGTTTAATTCAGGTTTACAACCATTAACCCTGTCCTTTCGTGCACCGGTTTTGGTTGCTGTCTTTTGGTGCCACCCGATACACGTGATACCCATTCAGATGTACACTTTAACTGGTAATTTCTTCGAGCAACCGTGATTTCTGTAGCATAATAAGCTCAAGAATGTTTTACTTTTTTTCGCGTGGTGTCTGTTACATCTTTGACAGTTTCCAACAGAGAATAAACGTCGCTTGGTGAATTAAGAGTAATTGGGATTTTTCCGATATTGCACTGTCTGAGACCTACTACCAAACCCGTTCTTTTTTCTCTGTCGCCCGCCTCATATTTTGAGAATCCGTTTATAATTATTTCTCACTTTGCTCGCATAATCCACCAAACGTGCGGTTGATGTGATAAAACAGAGATTTTATAAACGTGCTCGTGTAAGATTGCATTGGTGCTCTTCAAATTGATAATGATGCGATTTTAACATTTCGTTTAATCTTCTCAATCGCTGACGTAAAACAAACAAGCACATTTATAGCA